TTAGGTTTAATTAAGATTTTGTGATGTCAAAGTCTAGGTTTAATTAAATACCTAGGATTTGTTTTGGATTTGGCTAGCCAATGGATCTTAGAACCATGGTGAGACGAGTGATGGGGTTAGACAAGGGACGATTTTGATTGTAAATGTTGGTGAAATTGATCTAGTTCTGGAACTTTTAGTTTGGATGATAAACTGAGATGATAATGATAAATCTGGAATTTGTGTTTGGGGATTTTAAATGCTCTGTTGATAAAAGTTCTTGCAAAATTGATTGACTTAGTTTTATGGTTCCTTGTGTCATTGTATCTTCCGATGAGGTATTGTGCTTAGGCTCAAATCTGTTTTGCGTTTAGGCTTAGAGTTTTGGGTGTGTGATGAAGAGGGACTCTAAGCTTTTCAGCTCCTCCCCTCTTCCTTCCACTTTTAAGATCATTTCCAATTCGTGATACTTTTGGTTCTCTAAATCTCCAGTTCCCTTTAGTTTTTGGAGTGGTTGATGATTTTAGTGTCTGTGTGAATCTGCTTGTAAGCTTCTGTTTTAGATTTAAAATAAGTTATTTTGCATTCGTAATGGTAATTAAATTGGTTCGTTTCTCGTGTTTCGATCGTATGACTGGTTCAATATATCCGTTGATATTGATAATTTTTGCATGGATAACTGGGTTTGCCTGTGTAATGAACTTAGTGGTGAAGCGATAATGATCAATCAGGAATTTTCATGTTCTGACGGATATCCTTATGGGATTTGAGTCTATATGTTATGTGTGTCCATGTCATGCTAGTGTCCAAGCTGTGGTTGATGCCACTTAGTTTCTGTACATATCCAAATGCTTTTGCAAGAAAGGAGATAATGTTTCACACGAGTGAAATTTTTCCTACTAAATAGTCTACCAAATATTTTTGCCTAGACTTGCTTCTAGATGTCCATACTTGAAGTTGTTGTTTTTGAGCTTATTTCTGCGTTGTCTGAGGTGTGCAAGGCTGATTGTTCTTTTGTTTGGGTCTTAAATTGTCATGGAATTTATATTAAACTCTGGTTTGGAACTACCTTAATTTCTGAAAATTTCCAGCTCAATCCGTATGTAATTGATTTGAATTCTGGCAGCCTGACCTGGGAGTAGTATTATGTACATAACTTCTTGTGTAGATGTTGGATTTAAGCCACTCCTGGTTTTATAGAAAGCTAAGAGATAGTGTTAATTTTCCGGTTAAGCATTCAAACCAGTTCTGCCATGTCCAAGGAGAAAATTTGATTGTAATCTTTATGTTTAGAATCTGACCAGTATTTTGCCCTTTTATTCAGCTGTTTTTGGTCTGTTTTGGGCAGATCCTCTATTTTGTAAGCCTGGATTACGACTCTTGGTAGCTGTAGTTCAAGTTAAAATGATATTTATCTGCTTAAACATGATTTGATTATTGATTAACCTTGGGTTGTGGTTTGGAGTGTCTCTACACCCTAAACTCTGGTAAGAAGTTACATCAGCATGAGGTCCTCCCGTGGACTTAAAATGTGGTGAATTACATTTCAATTTGTTGATGCTAGACTTAAGAAAAATAGCAGCCTTGTTACCTTTTGAAATTAACTGCAAAATTATGTTCTTGTCACAGTTTGGTTAGGTCTTTAGGCAAAATGTAATTGCTGTTCCATATCAGTTTCTAGCTTTACCTTGTTGATTTTCAAGGTAAATTATGTTACCTGAAGCTTTTTTATTTACTTTGATGAGATAGTAATTCAGTTAGTTCCTGTTATCTGCCGTTGGTGAGAATTTTTGAAATTAATCTTTACTCACTATGCTCTTAAGACCTTGTTTGAAACTTGGTCCCTTGTGATAGTATGTTTGGTTTTGGTTGTGGCAGGATGTATAAGGTCTTCCACATTAGGTCTGTTTGTTGAGTATCCATTTGGGCATTCATATATGAATGCAAACATAGACATACATGAGCATATACATGCATACATGCATGCACACATGAGCATTCATGCAGACATGCATGCACACATGAGCATTCATGCATGCACACATGCGCATTCATGCATGCGCATAAAAGCATTCATTCATAAATGCATATACATGCATTCATCCATTCATGATCCCATATATCCGAGTGATGCTTATCCGTCTCGGATAAGGTTCCATCTTTTAGTTGTACTCATCATTAGATTCCTTGCCATATTGTCGTGTTTGATGAGTACCGGGTATTGATTTGAGTTAAGGGCACCACATCATCATGCCGATAACTCTCGAGTTTAGTCACTTGTGTTGAGGTGTGAAGTTATCTCCTGCTTCCCAAACGGCCATTGGGGAGGGTGGAGATCAAGATTGTTGTGAGCTTGTTAGAGCAATGATGATTACTCATTCCCTGTGAAGTGAATCTGACTATTATACCTTTGTAATTGTTAGCCGTGTATTTGAGATTGATTTCCTTGTTATTGTTGTTGTGGATGCGAATGCTGCTACTTATTTTGTGTTTAAAATTTGGTGCGCAGAATGTGGTCCTTGTTTAGATTGTTTAGTTTGATATAAATTGTCATTCTAGAGTGACATTTGTTTCGTCTCCGACCTGACTTTTAAAGTATTTAACCAGTTTTGTGACAGCTATCCAGTTGTTTCTTTGTTAGAAATCCTTGTTGGTTTACTTGCATCTAGTTACCTACAAAGAGTCCGGCCATGAAACCTGTAGAGCTATGATGTCCCTCATCTAGAGCTTGCTTTGTTTGTGGATCATTATTGAGAATCAGTGGATGAAATGGTGCAAAACCCAAACCATACCCTTTAGGGTTGTAGAACATTTGGGTGGTTATATGCCTCCTGTGTTGTGCTACAGTGTCCTTTGCCACAAACGAAGGAGTTGTTAGCTCAGGCGTCTTCTCTAGGACAAAATGGTACTTTAAGGATATGCTTTAGATGGACTATTGAGCACATTTTATCCTTTGTGAAAACCTAATCTGTTGGACTTTGTATATATGTCCCCCTAATCTAGGGATTTACCTTTGATTTTGCTATGTGCTGTTTCTTGACCATTAAGACTGAGGGTCTCAAATTTAAGTGAGAGTCTCCAACCTCAAAATGGCTTTAGTTTTCTTGATGTTTCATCCTAGAGCTTGGAATATATTTAAGTCACTGGAATGTAATATTAGTTATGGAGGCCATGATTTAGGTCTCAATTCGATCAATGTGTCAAAATTCGTGCTATGCCATTCCTTGCTAGCTCGTTTTATTTTGGGTTCATAGCATAGTTAAGCTATTGTTTTCTGTAGCCTTGATAAGAATCTCATCTGGGTTTCTCTGGAATTCAAATTAATTCTGCTCTATTCTGGTTCTGCTTTGTCCTTCCGGCATTCTGTTTGTGTAGGGATTTATGGTCTCTAACTTTGTTATGACTTTCTCTGATTTGGGGTTCATGATCGTGAAAAAGGTTTATCCCTTGATTAGCAAATAGCAATTTTGTAGTGGTGGCTTCATGATTCCCTCCATTGCTTTGATTTTTCAAAAATATTGATTTATTGATTCTGCACTGCTATGGCCATATGATGGTTGTCATATGATGGGCACTAGTTGTCTTAGATTGCGTGAAGCCATTCACCAGTCTAAATGATTCTAGATTTGAGTTTTGGGGACAAAACTCCTTTTTAGGAGGGGTGGATGTAATAGCCCAAAATTTCTAGAGCATTAAAGTGAGTTAGAAACCTAATTGTGAAGAAATATTATTAATAAATTTAATAGCAAATATTTTCAAAGTTCAAGGACTTAAAAGAAAGGAAATTAGGATAAGGATCAAG